GGTAGACCGTGGGATCGGCCAATCGATTCACAGTGATATCGTCAAACTGGTAGCTAATTCGATCGATAATGAGATCAGCGTCGCGCGGCTATCTAGTAGATGTCCCGTGATCGTCATGTGGCTGTTCAGTGGTAGTCCTGTGGTTGCCCCTTGGTTGTCATGCGGTTGCCCCGCCTGTATATGGAGAGATAGATAAATAGATACATAAGCAGATGCATGGCTAGATATATATATATATATATATATATACAAGACTGCATTGGCGCTTCGCGCCATGCACCTTGGCCCAGAAAGTTCGGCATGCAGGCGGGATGGCAAGGAGGTCAAGCCGGTAATTTAGCGATAACTCCGTGTTGCCTTTTCCGGCATCGTCGTTATCATAATGTTATTCGTGATCCTTCCTCTATGCTTCTGTTTCTTCATTCTCGCCATACCCTGCGCATTCTCCCCATCCTCCTCAGTTCTTTTTTGCGGAGGCTCCTCCTTGGAGAGCCTCTGGGGGCCTCACAAAATTTCTCATGCTTTCTCAAGGCCTTTTGGAGGCCTCCTGGGCGTGTTCTGGGGTCCTCCGAGGGCTTCCTCGGGCCACCCTGCCTCCAACCGCGGTCTCCCTGAATGATTGGGTCACGATTTGGAATGCTTCAGAGCGTGTCTTCGGGCCATCTTGGGCCGCCATGGGGCACTCTTAGGGCCATCTTGGACCCCTGTTGTGCCGTTTTGGGGCTGTCTTGGACTGCCTGGAAGCCCTTTCGGATAGTTGTGGAGCGATTTTGCAGCCTCCCAGGCGGCTTCGGACGCCCAGAAGACCGCCGTCCTGGAGCGTCGGGAAGCCGAAAAGAGGATAACCCCAAAATTCACCAAAAACCCGTGGGAAATCACAGATGTTTGCCTCCTGGGTCCTTCTTGGGAGTGCTCTTGGAGGCCTCTTGGGACGTTTCGGAGCGATCTTTGGGGGTATGACGGCTTCGTGGGCGTCGTCGTGGACCGTATTGGGGCTCTCTGGGGTCGTTTCGGGAGCGCGCCGACCCGTCTGGGGCCGTCTCCGGGTGCTGGGAAGGCTTGGCGAAACGCCCTGCGAGGACCGGGGGGCCGCTTCGAGGCCCGTCCGGAGGGTCCCAGAGCCCCAGATGAAGGGAGTCCGGTTTTGGGGGGGGGGGACGGGTTTTCCCCCCGCCTGGGCTTATAAAAATATAAGAAGAGGAGTATATATATACACATACATATACATGTCGTCAAAATATAGAAGCTTATACGTGTACATTTGTATATGTAAATATGAAAAATATCGATGTAAAGGTTATATATAGGTTGTGGAACTGCTCTATCTATGAATATATGTGTAACTATACACGTACGTACGCCTACAACTCGTAATATCCATATGCGTATTCACATATATATATATATATGTGAACAAGGTTATGGGACCAATCGGTAATGAGACCGATCGATGTGTTGTTAGTAAAGCGGTGGATGAATTTGGGGGCCGGTAGATCGCGAGATCACCCGTTACATTGATACTGAGATCGGTAGGCTAGTGATAATTCGATCGGTACGTCTTAAACTAGGGTCCCGCGGTACCCGTGATTGTTCAAATAATGTTCCATGGCCGTTCTTGTGAAATCCCGTGGGTATGAAGTGGTTGTCCCGTGGTTGACACGTGGTTGGCCTGTGGCTACCCCAGGCGTGCAAGCCCGGGGGCGGTCGGGACGACTGACCGGGAAAGGGAGGGGGTGGGGTCAAGGACGGCGGACCGAGGAAAGGGGGGGAGAGTGTGGTCCACCGCCCCACCGTCCTCTGGGTCAACCAGATACGCGCCCACGTACCATAGACCAACCTCAAGATGCATGCACACCGAAACGCGGATCTAAATACATGGAGGTCTAATCCGAAGCGCACATCGACATGAACAGATTGTTTAAAATGCAATTGGACGTCGAAATGTGAATCGAATCGTAATCGACATGCTAATCGAAATGATATGCAAGCTGCAAGTATATATATATATATAAAGCAAAAAAAAACACTCCAGTCCCACCAGCCCTTTGGGCGTAGGTGGTTTAACGACGTAGTTATCCCAACCTCCTTCTCCTTCGGGGAGAGGTATACCTCTCCCCCTACGCCTTCTCCCCGGTCAGAGTGCCGTGGAGCGCCCGACATGGCCCCAAAAAGGCAGCAGAGATTCCAAGATAGCCTCCCAAATCGCACAAGATATCGAAAGACGGCTCAAGATAGCTTCCAACATGCCTCCAAGAGGCGCCGTGACCGTCACTTTCGGCCTTCGAAGGGAGGGGGGGGGGTAATTGAGAACCCCCCATTCTGTGAACGATAGCCTCGAAGATTGCCCCAAGAACGCCCCAAAGGCCTCCAAGATGGCCCCGAGAGACCAAGAGAGCCCCAAGGGCTTTTAAACTTGCCCTGAGAGGTCCCAAGAAGGCCCCGCGATGACCCCAACATGCCTCTAAGAGGACCTCAAAGCGTGAGTGCATGCTGCCACGCATCCCTGAGCAAGGCAACTCGCCTGGTGATCGCTTTTGGATGGGCTGGTAGGGATACACAACGCGTCAACACTTGAAACTGGGAAACATTAGCGTGCAAATCGAACTTCAAATATACAAGCACATCGAACTGCAAATAGTAGTACAATCAGCATGCGAATCGAACTACAAAACGACAAACCCATCAAACCTCAATCGAGATGCAAGTCGAAGCGCAACTTTCCCTAACCACACACACACACACCAACACACTCTCCCACACACACACACACACACACACACACACACACACACACACACGTGTCTTATAACCCTTTGTTTCTGTTGGCACGTCTAGATATTGTACGTATGAAGGTGCATGCACGGTCACTTGAGAATGATAGTCATGCCACCGGTTGGCCTTGTCCCACGGCCGATCGGGAGCCCCGCAGCGAGCAATATCACAAAATGTTGCACGGCTCGGGGGAAGCAAAAGCGCGACGCAACTCGCAGGGGCTGCACACGGGCAGACGTTCCCAACGGGCACGCGCTGGGTGTTATCGGACGAGGAGCTTGGGGAATAGGACTGGCCGAGTCACATTGTAACTGAGCGGTTCAGGGGGAGGTGAGTGAGTGAGTGAGTGAGTGAGTGAGTGCGCTGGGAGGGCGTCCCAATCCGATAGCCACTGAGCTACTGCATCGATGCCCCTCTTCGTGGGATTCGCTGCCCTTTGCGATGATATGGAAACTAGCCCCAGCAAAGCCTTACGAGCACGGCTGGACCTGGCCTACGGCGCCTCCCTGGCACAGTCGATCTTTAGCGAAGGAGGGCCGCTGCAGCATGGGGGGGCACTGTCCGGTAGGCTGGCGTGTGGGGATCAGCAGCAGGTTTCGAATTACTATAGAAGACACTCGGGAGTGCGCGCAGGGCGCGCTGTCACAGTGCACCCAAATGACGGGCTCAGCTTACGCGCAGGGGGAGGGTCGTGAAGGAACAGGGAGGCTCCCTCCCTCCCTCCCTCCCTCGGCACCTGTTCTCCCCCAGACACACACACACACACACACACGCACGCACACACACACACACACACACAGTCTCGGTTGCGAGACGTTGCTTCTGGTCTCGTCCAAGGATAGCGCTTGCATATAGATTGCGACCAGTTCGCGCTATCCCAAACTTCGGAATACACCGCGTGCTGGGTGGCAAGGAGATGGCATGTGCTGGGACTCCGCCCCAGATAGGAGATGACATGTGTTGGGACTTCGTCCCAGGTCCCCCGCCTGCTGCCCAGGGGGGGGGGGGGGGGGTAAATCGCGTCGCTGGCTGAAAGGAGGGGGGGGAGGATGGGGAGGCAAAGGAGAATGGTGATATAAGAAGACGAACAACGGCAATAGGCGCACGAGCGGCGTGAAGGAGGAGGGGAGGATGAGGGGGCGCGCGCGCGCAGGGGAGGACAGCATGATCCCGGGACGGCGCTGGACCAGCCAGGGAGACAAGGAGGCGGAGGAGCAACACGAGGGAGCACGAAGAGGGGCGACGCCAGCGCAAGCGGGGACGGCGCTGACGACGCCACCGACGACGACTGCGACGACGATTGCGACTCCTTGTGCGCCTCCTCCTCCTCCTCCTCCTCCTCCTCCTCCTCCTCCTCCTCCTCCTCCTCCCCTTCCTCCTCCTCCTCCTCCTCCTCCTCCTCCTCATCCTCCTCCTCCTCCTCGCCCTTCTCACCCGCCCCGATCTGATCCTGGTCATGCTGCTAGCCTCTACCTGCGTCCTCCCATTGATGGACCTCGTGCGACGCAGCCGACCCCTGAATCGCCCCAAACCATCTTCTGAGAGAAGTGCGCAGAGCTAGGCGTGGATGCAATTTTCTGATTGCGCTTGCCTGCCGTGGCGAAACAGGGTCCTATGGCAATGCGTATCGGGCGCCAACTGTAGCAATTGCATAGAAAAGGGTTGCACGTCCTGCTTCACAGCACCGTGCAAACTCTCTCTGGCCACTTATTTGCCGCACCTGGTTATGAGCTGTCTGCACCTGTTCGACTTACTGGCGATCTCCTGGATGTCTGGTATACCTCATCATCTTTTGTGCCCCCACGTCCCTGCGCCGCCACTTCTGTTGCTGATCCGTCTCCTGAGCCTTGCCAGCCGCCCTCGGTCCTCATACTGCAAGCTTTGCCCTGTACGTTGCCTCTTCCCTCCTCCTAACGCCCCAGTGCGAAGCAGAATCGCTTGCCGGGCCATGATCCGGGCCACGGGTGGCCAAATCGGCCAAATCGGGAACCAGGGCCACCGCTCTGAAGCCATCACCGTGCTCTGCCCACTGGAAGCCTTCGAGACTCTACCGGACAACAACGCCCAAGGAGATATTAAGACGTAATTGCGCTGGAAAGGCGGGCTGGGAGCAAAGTTCGGCTTCCCACGAGGGTCCACTAACTACTTTATTGTGCCTTTTCAATGCCTTTTCAACTCCATGCCACGCAGGCAAATCCAGATACCCCTTCTCAGGCAGAAGCCGCGGC